CCTGTGCAGCCTGCTGTAGGTGACCCTGCTTCGGCAAGGGGGTTGGACTAGATGACCCACAGAGGTCCCTTCCAACCCCTACTATTCTGTGATTCTGTGATTCTGTGATTCTCCCAGCCGAGATGCAAAGAAAAGCCAGTACTCGCTTTTAAACCGGTTGTTTGAAGGATAAGGGACAGAAACTTGGAAAGAATAGTTTGATTACCCACAATTGGCATGAATAATTACAAGTGGTTCTCAAGAAGATCAAGATGTGACAAGGTCTAGCTGCTGGGCATGGAATAAAGGAAGATTCAAACCGGAACTAAGGAACGAGGAGCTCGTTCGCTTCTGGAACCTCTTCTAAATGGATGCGGACAGATCCTCCTTGCCCCAGAGCCCGCAGAGCTCGGAGGTGGGCAGCTACCACCAGCGAACAGGCTGGAGGTGGGAACCCCTGGGCGAGAGGCTCCGGGCTGCAGTGAACACGGGGTCAGGCGGCATCACCGCTGCCGTCTGTCTGGGCTCAGGGTCCGGGAACACCGATAACCAGACGGTGCCCAGCACACCACGTGCTCCTAACCGATCCCAGCCAGCCACGATCGCCGACTGGCTCTGTTGTAGGGTGGGTTTTATTCTTTCTACGGTTTCACTTCTGCTGTAATAGAAGGATGTGGGCGTTAGGAAAGGTTTGGACTCAGCCCAGATCTGGACCGGGACCGTGCCTGGAACACGCTCCCAGTTTACTCCTTTGCTAAGACAGTGAGAGGTTGTGGTTAAAAGGCCGCTCTTTACTCTCAGCTTTTTCAACTCAAATTCGATTATTATTTTTCGAGTGTGGCTTACAGAAAGACAAAGAGGAAAGGCGGAGAGAGAGACGAGGAGGGAGAGAGGAACATGCACGCAAACACACTCACACAAAGGAGGGAGAAATCCCACACCATTCCAGTTGGAATGTCCCAGACACTTCAGCCGAAAGCCACCGCACAGCACAAATCCATGGTGGTATTTGGAAGCGCTGAGCCCACCCCTGTAAGCCTCTTCATCCCGCTCCACAGAGTTTGCCAGGAGGATTAACCCAGTCTTGTTCTCAATCCCAGTTTATGAGTTCCCTGCTGGTGGGGAAGATCCTGTGTGTTTAAACAACAGCCTAATTAATCCCTATTTTATTACTTTCTCTTGTCAAGTGCCTAAATAGAAGCTGTCAGCCGGCAGCCACCACCGCTCACATTTGTTTAGATCCCAAATTACTTCATCAGAACCATCTGCTCTGTACGCGGGGCGCTCAGCAGTTGTTTATTCCTCTCTCTGGACATGGTGTGGGGCACAAACAGCCTCCCCCGTGGGACCCCCTGCCTACAGCTCCTCCAGGCCCTGGGGACGGTCCTGGAGAGGTCCGTAAAGCCCTCTCGCTAGGAGCAACCTAACAAAGCCAGGCAGTGGACAGCCCTAAAGAGGAAGAGGGGACATAGAGCTCTGTGCTGTTGGGCCAGGCGAGTTTGTGTTCCTCCTCAGAAAGCCCCAAAGCCCAGCTGGGAAGTACACGTCTCGCTGGGATGTGCTAGCAGAGCTCCAAACATCCACCCCCTTCTTCCTTTTGCTTCCTGAGCTTCAACCCACGCTGATCTTCCCTGCCCAAGCATCTAACCCCCAGGACCTTCTTTTCAGGCTGTTCCAGACCAAGTGCAGCAGCTGCTTGAAGGCGATCGCCCCTTCCGAGCTCATCATGCGGGTGCTGGAGAACGTCTACCACGTCCACTGCTTCTACTGCTGCGAGTGCGAGCGACGTCTGCAGCGGGGAGACGAGTTTGTGCTCAAAGAGGGACAGCTGCTGTGCCGCAGCGACTATGAGAAGGAGAAGGAGATGCTCAGCGCTATCAGCCCAGCACCCACTGAGTCTGGTGAGGGTCCAGGGCTGGAGCGGTGCTGAGGGTGGGGAACCAGGGTGAACCTTGTAGAGGGCAGGTACTGCCTGGTCTCTAATTAATGATAGGGAAGGCTTCAGAGGGAGGAGATGTAGGTAGGTGGAGGTCGTAGCATCTTTTCCCGTTGGTGACAGGCAGCCAAGGGGGTAGCAGGCTGCTGAGATCTACGCAACTGATCCAGAGAGGTTTGGATGGGCTGATCTCAGACATTACAGTATGGATGATGTGGAGCCAGGCTGGCCCATCAGCTCTGTCTCTTCTTGGTGAAGTAGAGAATGGGGGGCAGCAAAACCACCACCACGGACTTCCGGAGGGCAGACTTTGGCTTGTTGAGGACGCTGGTTGAGGGAGTCCCTTGGGAGAGAGTCCTGAAGGGCAAAGGGGTCCAGCAAGGCTTGACATTTGTCAAGGAGGAAGTCTTAAAGGCATGGGAGCAGGCTGTCCCCATGTACCGCAAGACGAACCGGCGGGGAAGACGACCGGCCTGGCTGAATAAAGGCCCCCAGTTGCATCAGGGGGGGGGTGGATTGGATAGGAGAAATGTCATTACTGGAAGAGTTGTGAAGCATCAGAACAGGCTGCCCAGGGAAATGGGGGAGTCCCCATCCCGGGAGGGGTTCAAAAAACATGTAGATGGGGCAGGACATGGTTTAGAAGGCATGGTGGTAACGGGTTGACGGTTGGACTTGATGATCTTAGAGGTCTTTTCCAACCTTAATGATTCTATGATTCTATGAATTGACAGCGTTCCCCTGAGCCACAGCTCAGTCCATGAGCTTTCCTGGCTTCACTCTGCTCTAAATTGTGCCTTGGAAAGAGCAAAACTCTTAAGTTTCTCTGAATCCTTGCCCAGGGAGATGGCCCAAAAAAAGCCACTCTCTGCTGAATCACCGCTACCCATCTTCCGTTGCAGTGAAAAGCGAGGATGAAGACGGCAGCCACTCGCACGGCAAAGGCAGCGAGGAGAGCAAAGACCACAAGCGCTCCAAACGCCCGCGCACCATCCTTACCACGCAGCAGCGTCGGGCATTCAAGGCTTCGTTCGAGGTTTCCTCCAAACCTTGCAGAAAGGTATAAGGAGGCCACTCAGCACAGCTGCAGGCTCGGACCCTTTTAAGTGCAGCTTCAGTTCTGATGCAGCTCTCTGCGTTTTGTGGACAGGTGAGAGAGACCCTGGCAGCTGAGACGGGCTTGACCGTGCGGGTGGTGCAGGTCTGGTTCCAGAACCAAAGAGCCAAGGTGAGTGACGGTTCCACAGCGGGGTTCTGCGTGCCTGTGGGATACCACATGCGCTCGCTCAGTTAAAAGGAAACGTAGAATAGCTTAGGAGAAGGAAAAAACGGCTAGAAGAACAGAAGAACTATGCAGGACCAAATCACAGGTCCACCTAATCCTACAACGTGTATCTAGGAGTAGCAAAAGCTTAAAGAGAAATACAAAAATCGATTAATTACGCAAGTTTGCAAGGCTTAACATTTTTCACTTTTTCATTTTAAATTCCTTTCTCTACTCGCTTTTCACCCCTCGCTATAGAAAGACTAGAAGGATTTCTTACTTCTTCCTCCTAGGAGTTGAAACATTTCTTATTTTGCAGAACTTAAAGGGTGAAAACAGAAAATACGTAGCTTTGAAAACTTCATTTTGTAGTAAAACGAAGCCCTTTTTTGTTTTTTAAGCTGCAAATGGCACCTCCCACAAAGATAATTTAGCCTTTTCTGTCAGCCCTGTTTCTCACGCAGGGACGACTGCAGCGGGCACTGACTGCAGAGGAGTCACCCAGAGGAGCCTGAGCAGGGTTGTGTGATGGTTGATGATCTTAGAGGTCTTTTCCAACCTCAATGGTTCTATGATTCCATATCACGGCAGCGCTCGGTCTCTGCAAGGCAAGCGGCAGTGGTCCGCTGCCACGTTAAACGCAACCCGCTCCCCTCCTCTCCCAGTCAGAACCCCAAATCCAGGCTCTCCATCTCCTTGCAGATGAAGAAAATTGCTCGCAGGCAACAACAACAGCAGCAGCAACAGCAGGAGCAAGACCAGCTGGGCAACCCTCGCTTAGGGACCGGGAGAGGGACCGGTCGCAACAGCAGGCAGAGCAACGATGACAGCGAAGGTGAGGAGATGCCACGCAGGGTGACAGCTCTGAGGGCTGCAGGCTGGGGTGGAGGGGATCGACCTGGATGGATTTGAGAGAGGAGGAGCTTAGCAAAAAGCTCACGGGTTGTAACTGAACTGGTACGTACAAGCTGGAGTAACTAGTAGGATGAGGAGGGGACTGGAGCATCTCTCCTACGAGGAGAGGCTGAGCGAGCTGGGCTTGTTCAGCCTGGAGAAGAGAAGGCTGAGAGGGGACCTAATATAGACTTACAAATATCTGAAGGGTGTGTGTCAGGAGGATGGGGCCAAGCTCTCTTCAGTAGTGCCCAGTGACAGGACAAGGGGCAATGGGCACAAACTGAAGCACAGGAAGTTCCGTCTGAACATGAGGAAGAATTTCTTCCCTCTGAGGGTGACGGAGC